ATGAGAAGAGCAAATATATGCTAGTTTTATTCTAATCACAAGGCTATTTCTCATAATGAAAATGATCAAAGCGGCTAAAAAAGCTTGGGCAGAATGGCTGTCTCAGGGTAGCATTTAATGGGGGGGGGGGGATTGCCCTGTTTCAAAGTTATCGCTTGCTGTTTCTAAGGAGTTCCACCTGTTCTGCTATGTATGTGCTAAGTTGGGACTGTTTCTTCTTCAGCACACATTAGAAATATTACAGGATGCAATGTAACAGGTTAAAACTGAATCCAGACCAGACTGAGAACATGATGGTTGAGAGAGACTTAATTTGTATGGAAGGAGTTTACCTGCTCTAGGTTGCTTTTCCCTTGGAGGAGAAATTATGGGCTGCTCCTTCACTCTGGGATGACCTGAATTGCTCAGGTCAGTGCAGTGGCAAAGAACACCTTTTCTCAGCTATGAATTATTTACCAGCTGTCTCTCTTCCTGGAGAAGTCCAGGCTGGCCACTATTATCCATGCTCTGGTAACCTCCCATAAACAATTGCAGTGTACACTATGTAGGAATGCCCTTTAAGGAAAATTGGAAATTACACTTGGTTCAGAACTGGCAACCAAGCTCCCGGCAGGCATTTCTTCGCAGGAGCATATTTGCCTGCTTGGGTATAGCTGTGCTGGTTACCTGTAGATTTCTGGATTAAATTCTAGTTTCTTTTGTTAACACATAAACTCCTAAATGGGACGGGCCCTGCATATCTTCTTCCCCCATATGTTACCAACCACAAGGTCCTGTCATCTTTGTAGGGTTTATTGCAGGTGACAATCCAGAGAGAGGCCTGGTTTCAAATGATCAATGTGAGTGTCTTTTTGGTTGTGGCCCCCAACTTGTGGAATTCTCTCCCCTGGAGGTTTGGATGGCTCCTGCCTGTCCTGTTTCATCAAGAGGCTAAAGATATTTATACTCAGGCCTTCCTCCTCTAAGTGTTTCTGTGATTCAGATAATTTTTATGTCTGGCATTCTTTATTACTGACTGTGGATACTATTTAAGGATTTTATGTTATTTCTGATTTATTTTGTGATCTTTGAATGTTATTGATGACCATTCTGTCTAACGTTGTAAGCTGATGTGAGTTGGCTTGCCGGGAACTTGTAGTCTATAAATGTAATCAATAAATATTTACAGAATGACCTTTCTCTATCCCTCTAAAATTGGGCCATTTGGCAACCTTCTCAGATGTCAACCGGCTGCCTTTATTTAGGAGTAGATAATAAGTAGGATAAACCGAGTGTCAAGTGGTCAAGGCAAACTCAGGAAACAATGACCACTCAGATTTCAGGAAGGTTATTTATTACGGTTAGGATTATTTATTATTATTATTATTTATACCTACACCCACACACACACACACACACACACGTACATATGTATGTATGTATGTATGTCACCAAATATATATAGTCCACTTAAGGCAGTGAACATCCTTAATACTCCTGCCTCCTCTTTTCCCCACCACACAACCCTGTGAGGTGGGTTGGGCTGAGAAAGAGTGACTGGTTGAGTCACACAGCCAGATATCATACCTAAGGGAGGCCTAGAACTCAAGTCTCTTGCCTTCTATGCCAGCATCTTCACCACTACGCCAAACTGTCTATCTCGAAAGCCTGCCAAAGCAGTTCTCCAGATCAACTTATACCTAGCACAATTAAGGCAGACTGAGTCTCTTTTTCACAATTCCTTCTTCCCCTGGACTAAGGAGTCTTTTCTGTAGCAACCCTGTTCCCTTCTTCACGTTCCCAGGGTCTGATAGATATTCCATCACAGGCTGGTTAGTCCATGGAAGAGAGACAATTAGGCCATCCCAAAATGATACGTTGGACTAGGAGTCTAATTTTTTTTTTTCAAAGGAAGGCAGTGGCAAATCACTTCTGTACTGCTAACAAGAAAAATGCATGGTCGTATCCATGAAGTTACTAGGAATCAAGCTTGACTTGGGGACTGTTACGAACATCAAGCATATTCAGTCCTGCAGCCTCTCTGCCTGTCTAAATGGCAGACAGCATCTGAATTTGAATACCTCTCGGGCATAAGCTTCAGCACAAACGCCCAGGAGATTCCCTCAACTTCTCTCCTCCCAGATGGAGAAAAAGGGTCGTTTTTTAAGAGACACAGGCAGAACTCCTAGGAACTCCTGTTTTCATCCACAACAAAGACAGCATGGTGTGGAAGCCATATCCCTCTCACGCCCTAGAGCCGTGTTTCTCAACCTTGGCAACTTTAAGACGTTTGGACTTCAACTCCCAGAATTCCCCAGCCAGCATGCTTCCCCATGCTGGCTGGGGGATTTTGGGGGGTGGAGTCCAAAAGTCTTTAAGTTGTCAAGGTTGAGAAACACGGCTCTAGGGCGTGAGAGGGATATGGCTTCCACACCATGCTGTCTTTGTTGTGGATGAAAACAGGAGTTCCTAGGAGTTCTGCCTGTGTCTCTTAAAAAACGACCCTTTTTCTCCATCTGGGAGGAGAGAAGTTGAGGGAATCTCCTGGGCGTTTGTGCTGAAGCTTATGCCCGAGAGGTATTCAAATTCAGATG